TCCTTGTCGTTAGTATAAATTATTTATTTATTTATTTATTTTTTGGGTAGTATTGAAGTGAGGGATACAGTTACCATATGTGCTTTAATAGGCTTCATCGAGTCAAGAGAAACAAGGAAAGATACGAGTGTAAAATCTTTCTCCACAAATTCGGATCCACGTTGTGGCCGACCTTGAAATAAACTTGTGGACTCGGAAAACTCCATTGGGTCAAAGGTACTACCTACTCCAACCTTGAGCACCTAACAAGCCGATTTTCTACAACAAATTTCCGGACAAGCACAACCGAACAAGCAAACATTCCTATTGGATCTCTCCGTATGAATAGAGACATCATTCTAATTGCATATAACAATCTAAGCTCGGTTTGAGACCTAAAGTTAAACTCTCATTATTATTTTTTTATTACCCAAGAGTTGGTGTCTCTTTGGCCTTTATGTTGACCTATATCCGGGGGTATGCGCACTGTCCTCATACCCATATGTAGCCATGGGGTCATTGTTTGGTGGAGTTGCGTTCCATGTGACTTGAACCCAATGTCTCAAAAATATTCCTTGAGGTCCCAAGCCACCCAAGCTATCTCTTGGGGACAGCTGCTTATTAATTACCTTGTCTCTAATAAAATGTAGATCGATTTCTACATATTTGCTTCTTGAATGAAGAACAGAATTTGATGCCAAAGACACAACTTGTGTTATCGCACCAAATTATTGGAGGTGTGATTTTAGTAGGAACGTTGATTTCCTTTAGTAGGGACTAAATCCAATACAAATTGGTGCTGCATGTGCCAGAGCCCTATAGTCGATTTATGTCCTAGAACTGGCAACAACTTTTTATTCTCTAAAGGCCTACGACACCAAAGAGTTATTCTCTAAAGGCCTACGACACCAAAGAGTTTCCAAGGAACATAAGATAAATAGAAATACAGCGTCTATCATCTGAATTACATGTCCAATCAGCATAAGCTGTAATTTGTAAGTTGTTTGATACCTTTAGATGTAATCTATAGTTCTTTGTTCCTTGTAAGTATCTTAGAACTCTTTTTACTATCTTCCAACGTGTATCTGTTGAATTCGATATGAATTGACTCAATTTGTTTGTTATGAAGTCAATTTTTGATCTAGTATGAGCTAGGTATTGAAGTCCTCCATTAGCACTTCTATAGATGGTGGGATTTTCCAATGGTTGTCTTTCATACAGAGATAGATCGGTCTACGTATTACTTTTAGTGTTCAACAAGGTTTAATGCGGCTTTGGTTCAATGGATCAAGTAGATCAGTTATGTATTTGACTTGGGTTAGATACGTACTATCTCCATTCCTATAGGTCTCAACACCAAGGAAATAGTCAAGTTCCCCAAGATATTTTAAGGCATATATGGTATTTAACTCAACGATAAACCTCTCAATCATGTGTTTGCAATTCCCAGTAACTAAAATATCATTAACATAGATCAAGACAAATAGAGTTG